TTAAAAAAAAAAAAAAAAAAAAAAAAGCATTCAAATGTACATTTCTGGGTGCCACTCTGGTTGCCTCTGTAGCTTGCAGACAAAATCTCTGTGCCTAGAACATGGTTTAGTGAGCCCTTCCCTTCCTGTGGCTATTTTTGTAATGGTCTGTGCTGGTGTGGATCGAAAATGATGCTGTACAGAGAAAAGAGCTGCCTGCCTGATGGACGGGTGGGGACAGGCCTAGTAAGCCAGCCCAGGAAGCCTGAGAAGATCTGTCATTGAAGAGACGCAGATAAGTGTAAACGGTTGGTTGGTAGAATGGTCAATGGCACACCACCCCGGTGTGATAATGCAGGTAGGTACCCAAGCACAGTCGCTGGCCTTGGAGAAGCGAAGATGTTTTTGAAGACAAGCCCAAGTGGATTTAGTTGTCAGTTCAGAGCATCCCTTTTCTGTATGACAAATCAGACCAAGACATACATCCCCCAAGTTCTCAGATTTGGGGCCAGTCCTGGTCCATTGTAGACCCCCTCTGAGTACCATCCACCTGGAGGACTGGGATCGCAGTTTAGAACGTTTCCTGTCATCTCTGAACTAGATCAGCCAGAGCGCCCCTGCTTGGGTTCTTGCTGGCCCCTTGGCTTTCTTCCTGGAGCTTCGTGGTCTGACTCAGAGGAAGGTGGTCTTTTCCCTCGGCCGAGAAGGTGGTAGGTGGGAATTAACCTAGGCTTCCCTGACCCGTGTTTTCCCAGAGTTTTATGGGCAGGAGAAGAAAGCTTTTCTAACCAGTGACGGAAGAGGTTCTGTGCTGGCCGTTGGGTAAGGAGCCATCTGTGCCGTCACGTGACTTCCCTGGCTGTGGTGTAGACCACTTTCATTTTCCCAGGACATCCCTCCTTTACTGGCTCTGCTGTCTCAGGCAGCCTCACTGACCTGAGACACGCCTCCTCCGGGCTCTCCTGCGATAGCCAGGTGAGCCTTTGCCTTTCACTGCAAGTGTCTTGATCCTTCTTCCTAGTGGAGAGCAGGCCAGCAAATTGGAGCAAATGCGCAGATCAGCGTCACCTCGAATTCCTCCAGACCTGACAATGGTTGAATGACCCAGGAGGCCCAGCGTGGGGGGGAGACCCTCACTTGGGATGGGACGTCCTGGCCCACGGTGGGGAGTGGCCTGCCTCACCACACGCGCACACAGCACCGCCTACAAGGACAGGGGCTTTCTGCAGCCTGACCAGAGGGCTCAGGTCAGGAAGCCCCGCTCCACGGCTGCCCTGCAGGGAGGAGAGAGCAGCAGTTTCTGGCCTCGTCACAGCCCTTGACAAGGGTCTGTGGTCCTGAGCGCTGAGGGCAGCGCCTCCCCACACACATACCTGAACGTCATCACCCACGGCTGCGCCTAGGGCTGGACACTCACTGGCCTTCCAGCTTGAGCTCATCTCTCACCACCTCAGTTCTGTTGGGCGAGAAAACAACGCTAAGTAGTACCAGGTCACCCCACCAAACGAGCTCATGGAACAGAACGCAGTCGTCCTCCTGGCCATTTCAGTTGAACTGATTAAGTCCTGTCTCAGCCTGAGAGTCCTCAGTGGGTCTTCCAGGGTCAGTCTGGGGTTCTGTTCCCTGCTGGAGGCCACTGCAGCTGGCCCAAGACACCCACAGTGACCCGTGGCTGCCACTGCTGCCCACTCCGTCGTCCATGGTTAGGTCCTCTGTGAGCTGCTGCCTGTGTCTGCAGCCACCACGGGGTCAGCTGACTGGCTTCAGGGTGCCACACGCAGTTGGTCTAGCTCCCGGAGACTTGCTTTTTAGGTTCAGCACAAAGCTGCTTCCCCAAGACTTAAGCTGGCCTCCAGAGGGCCAGGTCAGGGGCCTGGTGTGCCCCTGGGTGTCCTGCCTTGGTGTGTCCCCGCCCCAGGGGCTTTGTCAGGGGCCCCTTTTCCCGTTGGCACAGGCCCTGAGCGTCACCCCAACAAGATTCAATTGCTTTGAACGTTAGAAGTTGGCCTTTAATCCTATTCCTTCAAGGCCCCAGGGTCCTTAGACATATCCACCCTCTCCTTAGCCAATGACAAGCTTATCAGTACCCTCCTCCCAGATGGCTGATGGCTCCAGGTCTGACTCAGTTTCCCTTTGTCTAGCATAAATTCTGCCACACTGCACTTCCTTCCCCAAGGAGGCACTCCAGTGACCCCGCACGTGCGAGACGGGCGAGCTGGAACTTTCCTGGAGCGCCTGAGGGAAACTGCCCCACTCACCCCTCCACGTTGTGGGTCTTGCCCCCAGGGTAAATCAGGAGATAGAAGTGTTCTCAGCTTTCTTTGATTCCCCCACAAAATAGTCAGCAGATGAGAAATGCGTTTACGTTTTTATTTAGGAGCAATCGAAAGATTTTCAGTACCATTTCGGCCCATTTCAAATTGTACAAGCAGTTTGTCCCTGTTCCCCTCCCTTATCCAAATCCACAGATACAAAATCTAGGAAATGTGCAATTTGCATCTTAGAAATAGCAGCATCCCCACAGGGGACCTTGTGAGGCCTGGAGACTCAGCCCGGAGAGGGCAGCCCACTCCGCCCGCCCCGGCACAGCCCCGGTCCAAAGGCAAAGTTCCATCTTTCTGTTAAAAACATTTCCCCAGGGCGAGGAAGCCCCTTCCACCCAGGCCCGGTGACACCAGCCAAAGTGTGCCTGTGCCTCTCTCTCGGTTTGGTCTCTCACATGCAGCCACTGCAGGAGGAGGGGCCCTCTGGAAAAACAGAAGCCGGGCAGTGGCCTCTT